GAGAAGACACATCGTTTCGTCGGATGGACCATGCTGGGACTTTTCTGGGTCCAGGTTGTCCTAGGCGCAAACGACAGCAAGGTCGCAAATATGTCTTTGGGCGCCGCATGCATCCGTACACCTGGATTCTGGATGCTGGCAGTCGCCACGATGAGCATCGCCTCCTCATGGTTGTTCCTCAAGAAAGTTCCTGTCGAAGCTGAGGTGCTTTCCGACCACGCAGTTAGACTGCACTTTGACTACACAGTCCCCGTCAACGGTAGCTTTGTCAGGCTCTCCCAAAGGCCTCTTCTGGAGTGGCACTCGTTCGCCACGATTCCGGCCCCTGAGAAGGTCGAACACCGCGAGAAGGGTTTCTCTCTGGTTGTTTCCAACGCAGGCGATTGGACCAAAAACTGCATTCAGAAACCCCCCACTCACATTTGGGTTCGCGGTGTACCGACCTGTGGTGTCATGCGCATTGCGACTTGCTTCAACCGCGTTGTTGTCATCGCCACTGGATCTGGCATTGGGCCTCTTCTCGGTCACATTCAGCAGCCGAGCTGCGCGACACAGTTGATCTGGTCCACACCAAAGCCCGAACAGACGTTTGGCAAGCCTTTGCTCGACGCCATCAAGAGAAAGATCCCCAACGCAGTGATTCACGACACCAAGGTATCAGGCCGTCCGGATCTAGTGAAGATGGGATACAACCTTTTCCAAAGCTTCAATGCCGAAGCTGTCATCATCATTGCGAACGAAAAGATCACGAAGAAGGTTGTTTATGGTCTTGAAACTAGAGGTGTTCCGGCATATGGCGCTATCTGGGACTCTTGAGCGGGTTATATTGCTTGTTGGAAGCGCTGGGGGACTGTTTCTTTCCTTGTTCTTTTTTTCATTTTTCGTTTTTTTCATTGATCCTTAGCTTCGAAATGGAGTCGGGCGTTTCCCGGATGATTTCTATTCGTGGTACAAGTCAGCCGACCAATATCTCACATTTCTCTCTCATGATTATCATCCAAAATGCTAGCTAGATAGTGATCTCAATCCATTCTTTACTATGATATTCAAAAATGTGTCTTTGACGATGGAGTTGTTCGCAACCGAGAGATATCGCCATTACAGCCATGTCAACATAGGCACTGGCATTGACTTTCGCAGACGTGCCAGAGCAGCTCTTTTCCAGGAGTTGATACATACTTGTAGTCAACTTAAACCGGCTTCGGTATTCTGTATAATCATGTCGTGACTCTTTACCGGAGGTTTCTCATCGTCAAACTATAGAGACCGTTAGTTGCATCCCATGCTTCCGATGCAGTTCGATCTTCACATAATGTAAGTACACATTGTCATTATGCTTCTTTCTACTTGACATGAAATACGAAAATAAAATCAGAACTAAATAGGATGGCCGAATGAAGCTACTCTGTTTTGATTAACAACTCGAGGACTGGGAAATGACTGCAGCCATGGATGGTACAAGGCCCACAACTAGATCGGGGAATTAGTCAGTCAACAATCAATAATGAGAGACCACGGAAAGCCTACCAGATGGCCAAGGCAGACTCGTGCGCTGCGGACAGAATAGGGATGAGTTCCCCCCAGTCTAATTTGCCGAGACACTCAGAGGTTTTTGGCCGAGACTCGAGAGACTGCAATGTCATCGACCCTATCTGTAGATATCAAGGAGAACACAAACAACCTTTGCAAGATTGGCTCACTTCCTTGGCAATGGCAACCTATGACTCGCCGACATTATGCGTGCCTCCAGTCATGTCCGACGACTAAGGCCGGACACGAGGTTGCCTTCTCCTGTCCCATCTTCCTGCCTTGAATGTTATTCGCCGGTAGCTTGAAGAGCGGCTGGACTTGCTGGCTCTCCAAAAGTCTTCGAAGTCCACGAGGTCTGAGCGTTATGATGATTGGGCACACGTGTGTCATCAATTAGGTGCATGGCTGAGAGTTTACACGGAGCTGCACTTGGCGATACCTCTCTGGCCAGTTGGGGTTGAGGTAATTAAGCAAAGCAGCGCAGCAGTCGTTGTAACCCCAAGGGATCGGAGACGTGAAAACATACGATTTTCAAAGATTCATGGTGAGGCGTAAAACATTTCGAGATACGAGTGGTGCATTGGTTGAGGGGTAGCGAGCCGACTTCGATGGCTTCGTGCTTAGGTTGTCTCGGCACAATTGATAGAGCAATTCACGCCAATGATTTACCATTCAGAACAACATGCGCCCTTTACTTCTGTCTCTTCCTATGCATACAACACTGTAGAAGCTTGAGCATGTAGCCATGCACAGACAAGCACCTATCTTCGGAAAGTGTCATCCCGTTGGGGAACGGTAGATGCTAAGTTCTATGTTGGGAAGGTATTTCTGTTCTTCCATCTGCGGTTCAAAGTATGTGTCTTGTCCAAAACCTGTTTTGAACTCCAATGCCTACCTTGATAAGGCATTGATCCAAGTGTGGTAACAGTAGCAATGGCATTTTGTGGTTGTCGGTACTCTATTGAGGACTTTAGGCCGCATGATTTGCATACAATCACATCGCGAAGGCGTATGGAGTTGGAAATCATTGCATTCGATGATTAACACAGCGAACACAGGCCTAACTGCTACAAGACAGTTGATCAGCTTCCTGATAAAGAAGCTCAGTAAATAGAGGTTCGGCAGATAATATGCCAAGTGCCAAGTGAATCAGTTCCTAAGGCATACGTAGCTGGTAAGAGGTTGGTAGATGTATGTTGCCGAGGCTCAAGATGCCTCTGTATCATGCATAACCTCGGTGTCTAGACAAGGAATGTTACTCTCAGCAGCAAAGCTGACGTCGTCCCATAGATTCCTGATGCCCTTTGTGCTTATGTGTGATTTTCGCTCAGGTTGTTCGGAGGACGAATATGCAACATCGCTGCAGCCGGCCGGCCTTGATGTACGTGTTGATCTGTTATTGTAGGAGTGCAACTTCTGCATGAGCGACCAAGAGGCATGAGCTTTGAGCCATGGAAGAGCTTTCCTTGCTGTTTCTGGTAGCGAGCTATTTAGTTGCTAGGTGTCGTCTGGCTGCAGTGCAGGTGGCTAGGGCTTCGTAGACGTTTCGCGATGGAGACTAGTAGATACTCTGAACAAAGCTATGTTAACAGTGAAGATAAATTATTGACAAGATAGAATGCTTCAGATCCCACCTCGGCCTGCTCTATTAGGTTCAACTCCTGCATAGGATTGGCCAAAACAAGAGATAAACACATGCCAAAGATCTGTCATCCGAGGCGTCAAGTTGCATCTTGCTGCATCAACGGGAGGAACAAATCTTGGCAAAAATGTGTCAAACAGTGATGAGGGGCTGAAAGGTCGTTTGAGCCATTGTAACCTCGAGACGGTAACTCGGAGGGTAACATGTTGCTCCAGAAAGGGGAGGTAAGAGCCAGTCCAGTTTTCGATGAACATGTGGCACAGGTCTTGGGCGTACGATCGATGATATCGACTTCCCAACTTCCAAGTTTGTCGCGGTAGTCATATTCGATGCCGGAACTTGGCTGCGTCTGCATGCAACCTGGGGCGGCTGCACCATGCGGCATATCGCCTCCACCAAGCGCTAAATCTACTTCCCCAGGACCCAAAACAACCTAACAAAACTAGCTCAATGTGACGTAGACGACGGCTAGCTAGTCGATCAAGGACGTTCGTCATTAACACCAAGGGCTGGGCGACGCAGGGGTGTCTTGAAGCGCTCTCGAAAGTTCAGGTGGTTGAACTTGCACAATCTGCCATCCAAACCAGACTTGCTTCTTTCGGCCCTGATCTGTCCTTCGGCATTCGAAAGCCAAACATTGCCACCTCGACGTTGCGTTGTAGCTTGCAGAGTCGAGTTGTATTTGGACACTGAATCGGTGGCACAAGTCCGGGCGCGACTAGGACAAGCAACATCAGAGTTGATGATACTGATTCGTGCGATTTCGTACACAATGTAACTAAAATGTCTTGCTGCAAATTGTTCTCTTTCCCAAAGTCGAATTGCAAGGCGTTCTCGAGAATCTCGCGATCATCGTGCATGCTGCAATTCGGTTTCGCAGAGCTCAGCGTTGTCGAAAAGCCCCAATGATGGAGACGCGTTGGAGTTTCAAATGACAGTCATCTCAACTCAGCCCGGATTGATTTTCGTGAAGATCGGATAAACGGCCTAAAGAGTTTTTTTATGATATTTGTCAATACAGCCACTCAGAGCAGAGTTGTTGAATTCGTGGTGGTGTTGATGTCGTATTGTGGTTTTCTGTGGTCCCCCCAGCGTGGCAGCGCAAGACGCATCCTTGTTCCCCACAAAGCACCGCGAAAGCGAGGTGAAAGTCAAGTTGGGCCAGACGTGCTTCAAGTTCAGCTGTCTTAAGTAGTTCAGTCGTCAAACACGGGACGATTGGCCTGTGCTTACTCAAGCATCGACAGTCCGGACGGCGAGAGCGAGTCTCACAAACCCTGGAGTCTTAGGTGGCCTCGTTAGAAAACATCTGGACAGCTTAATTATAGCTGCTTCTGTGCGTAAGCGTACGAAAGCATCCAAGTCGCTCGATTCCTCAGATACAACAAGTCCGAATAGTTACTGGACGAACGCCATCGACGGCAAGAATGCGAGAAATAAAGTTGAGACGGAAAAGAAGTGCCGATGGAGAATTCCAGATCCAGAATCAATCAAATATCAATATGTCCGGAAAGACGTGACGGGAGAAAAGAGGGTCACGGACAATTGAGGCATTCTTTTTCCTCCGCAGCTATGGTCAGTTGCGCCGCATCTGATGGGGAAGCGAAGCATTGGTAGGAGCTTGAGACCAATTGACAATGTCCAAGGTCACGCTGGTTCTCGAAACCGAGCTTCCAATCTGTTTTGAGGTAAAGTTTGCCAGATTTTCCATGCCAGCAAGGGCCCCTTGATTGGTCTTTGCCGGTATTTACAACCCTAGTGCCGATCTGATGCCCAGTTGTCCCCCACTCTCTGTCGGAATGGGTGACATCGACTGGACGGATGGGTTCACGTAGATTGGATGGGTGGCTTGGCTTCAGATAAAATTCTCCGTTAGTTCACCATAGGGCAGATCGTTGCAAGGCTTGGGGGCAAGGCAGACAGTCGCGAGCAGACAAATGGCAGTGAAACGCCTTGTTGCACTCAGTCACCATCTTTTGCATTCACAAGATAGCAGATCCTTGGCCTGTTCTAGGTTCATCCTAGCCTTGAGGACCGGATAGAGCCTGCCGGCCGTCGTTCATTGGATTCCCGCCTGTGTCAAAGGCCAAATGCTCCACTCGGGGTTACCCGCGCTGCGTAACGGTGCAGGGGCGTCAATTTGGGTTTGAATCGGTCTCGGTCTCGGTATCGCAGTATAGAGTGGGAGAGTTCCATCGACCGGCTGTGCAACAGTGCAATACACCAAACACGAATGATTTGGCTGTCAATCGTTGCAGTGATCTGCCAGTGTTGTGCGGCCTGATCTTGTTTTAGACTAAAACGTCGTCATGACAAATGACTCGGCCTCAACATAGGGGGTTTACTTTAATAGTCCATCAACGACGCAAGATCATGGTTAAATCAGCCGACAATTCAGCATCATCTTGAGCCAAGTTGACAACAACCGCATCTTCATCGAATCGGATACCCAAAAGCGCAACTTGCTAATCTTGAAATCATATCATCTACGCAAAGTCAATCTTCAATTCCCCCGATTCGGATTCGACACCGAACGCGCCAATCACAATCCGCCAATTTGCCATTAACGGAAATCCTTCAACATGGCCGAAGCTGCAGCACACAACTTCCCCCCTGTCTCTAGTGAGGTCGTCAACTTGGCGATTGCGGAGCTGGTTCTTTATGGCCTCATGTTCCCTCCCGCAGTATGGATCACCTGGAAGCACGGAAAGAAGGGCATGGTTTGCTGGCCTATCTTTGTCTCTCACTTCGCAATGAGATTCATTGCCGATATCTACCAAGTCATCAAACGAGACGAGCCATTGCTACCAAACCAGGTCAACATTATGACTAGCGCCGGTAGTTTGGCTTGCTTGTCACTGACGTTGATTGGCATCGTTTACGAAGCGTAAGGGAATCCGTGAATACCTGGGGTCGATAAGAAAGACTGACTCACCTGTGTTTTATAGCAACATCATCCTGCCCGGGTCACCGAAGCGATGGACCGAGAAGATCATTCTGGGCGTCACCCATCTCATGAACACTGCGGGCATCGGCATGGCAACCTATGGAGGATCCCCGAGCCACGAAGGCGGCCTTATCAACAACAGTTTGAACCAAATCGGTAACTGCTTGGAGCTCTTCGTCATGTTCGCCGTCTGCGCCTGGCTGTGGCCCACCTACAAGAAGATCCGGTCCTCGTCCAGCCCCAACTGCCGCCCCGCGATGCTCATGATCCGCGCTGCTGTGGTCGGCTTGCCGTTCCAGTTGATTCACCTGGCTTACACCACGACCTACGCCTTCAACCAGATTTCCAGCCTCGACCCCATCATGGGATCTTTTGCAACGAAGCTTGTCCTGATTTTCGGCACATACCTCGGTGTTACCATTGCTATGCTCGCAGGAGGCTGGCTCGGCATGAGCGCCGACATGCCCAAGGCCGTGCAGGTAGAACTCACCCCTACCGATGTCGAAGGCAACAACAATCTTGTGCGTGACGACATTCCTTTGACCCGGGACTGGAGCAGAGACGACATTGCCAGAGCGAAGCAGGGCTTCGTCTAAAGCATCAAAAGCTTGGCGTTCGTCGTTTCCTTTGGACTTTTTCTGAGCGATTATTTTCCATTGCATTGCGTAGCGAAAGAAAACGAACCAACGGGTCAGGAGACTGACGACTTATCGGGCCTTAGGAAGAAGAAGACTCAGCTCAGACCGGAAGATTCCGACTTGGAGGACGAACCCGATCGAGGAAGGGAGCTAGGGCCTGGGAGACTTCTATCAACGATAACAGGGATTAGTGCTTTGAGGCAGGACGTGCAGGACACGGGAAACTGCACTCGAGTGCCGGATAGGTCTGGTTTTGGGTTTGGTATTTGGATTGGGTGGTGGAATTTCCAGACAATCTCTTTCCCGGTTGATTTTACGTTTGATGGTCTTCTGTCTCGTTTTCCCCTTCCGCATATAGAGTGTATCATAAGTCTTTTTCTTAGCGTCTTAACTGCTCAACTCGATCTCAACGGAATGGCTTCCTCGAAAACTTGAACTTCTGTGACTTGGAGACAATGACGCGTCTATCGAGTTTCCCTTTCGCGGAGAAAGATGCAAGTGGACAAGAGTTGGAAAATATTCACTCGAACAGAGGGGCGCGTAAATGTTATGACATGGGGCAAAAAGAAGCCGCACCTGTGTCGAGGGTTGCCAAAGTGGTTTTATTTCACATGGCTGCGATCGAGGATGATACCTCCAAGGCGTTTCATATTTGTAGTCACTTACAGTGGATGTCTTACAATTTCACAGATAAGTAGACGCCTTGGCTCCATTCTCTTAGCTCACAATAAAGACCAAGAATAAGCTTGAATTCAAGCAGCTTTTTTCTTCTGTACATATAGAAAAGGCAGGTAGTTTCAATGCCATGGCTCAGTGCTTGGCTAAGTTAAATAAAAAGCTCGATCGGCCTAATCAGGACTGTGGGAAGGCCATACCCCGTCTCATCACCATAGTCAAGATTCTAGAAAACCGTGGAGTCCAAGTGTTCTGTCCTCGGTTCAATTTTCCTGCTGAAACCGTAGGCTGGGAGTACTAGTTGCACATAATTCTTGTAAGTAACTTTGTGCTGGTATATTTGCGATGTCTCTCGCGAGTTTTTGAATGTCGACAACGTCTAGAGACCCCGCCGCTAATCCCCGCTCAGCCCTTTCACCTTGTTGTCCAAATCACCCTGCTATCAATGCAGGGCTCTGTGTGTACGTACCGTCTAGTCTTGCCTTATTCGCACAGCGTCTTCTTGGAGTATTTTCTTCCCTGCGACCTTAAATGATACGAGCCATAGGAGAAGAATGACGGCAAACTGCGAAAGAAGCATGGAAGGAAACACTTGGAGACCCGCCACCTGCGTGATAGCGCCGAGAATGTACGGAAGTATGGCACCGCCGACTTGGCCGAGAGAAGCTACAAACGACACTGCACCAACATGCAGCTCTTTCGGTAGGTAATGAACAAACTCGACGATGCAAGACGGGAACAAAGGGCCCATCACGAAGCCGAGCAGCGCCATCGAAAGTACCGAAACCCAAAGAACCTGCACTATCATGAAAAGCACCACAATGGCGGGAGCGAGCGCCAAGTAGATTATGACTGCCCGTTTTGGGGTCAATTTTTCCGTGACTGCACCCAAAGCCAGTCGTCCAACCGCCATACCTGCCCAGAAGCCCGAGGAACAGATACTCGATGCGTAAGTGCTGGTATGGCGGACGCGGAGCATGAAAGTGACAACCCAGCCGGAAACAGTGCACTCAGTGCCTACATATGCCAGAAGGTAAGCGGCGTATATCCAGGTCGCGCTGTATCGGAAGATGGCTCGTTGGTCAACTCCATCTTCAGGGTTTCCCTGCTTCTTCTTTTTCTCATGGTACTTCGCGGCAGTCTCGTGTCTGAACGCCAGGGGCAGAAAGACCGCTTCTGCAGCAGATGCAATAGCCTGAAGGCGTGTTAGTAACCAACCAAGGAAGAACTCAAGTCTTGTCCAAGTTCGCATGATACAAACTTACCAGCACATAGAACCACTGATACGACTGTCCATTATTCGCAGACAACATAATCCCTGCTAGGTACGGGCAAGTCGCAGCCCCAATTGAGAATGAGCCATGCAAAAGACCCGATAGGGTATTCGCGTTATTCAGTGCAGCAACCCAAGCACACCAGGATCCATCGACTATGCCAACTCCGAAGGAACCTACAGTGACTCCCAGAAGGAATACTGGGAAAGGTGGATGGAAGGAGCCTACTGCGGCGTAGACCAGATGGCATGCGGGACCTGTGAAAGCAATTCCGCGTTGCCCGAGTTTCTCATGGATGCGACTGTTAAGAAGAGATGCCAAGCAGTACCCGACTGGTCCAACGAGAAAGATGGCGGAGACTTGAAGTTCGTTAAGCTGGTAATATGTTTGCTGGTGCGGTAATGTAACTCCAATTGTAGCCACGAAAAGGCCCGCGACTATGAAAGAGTAAGCTGCCGCGGCAAGCTTCAGTGCGATGGCTTCTCGGTCTTGTCCGTTGATAGATGCCCTGGGATCGATATCCGAATCTGCACTTCTAGTGTCAAGCAACCGTTCTGATTCTGTTGCACCGTTGAAGTCAGGTGATAACGTGAGAGGCGCCATAATTCGTGTTGTTGGGGTCGCTGTGAACGAAGAGCATCTGGTATGTAGCTCCCTTGACTATGCCATTGGGGTAAGTTGACGGCTTGAAATGGAGGGTGTCAGTGATTCTTAACGGTTTCAGGGTTCAAGAGCCGAGTCGGCAAAGCTTCGGATGATCATCCAGATGTTGCCTTTTTAGGAACATGTTCCAACTCGGATGGGTCCTTGCGCTTCGAAACAAGGTTTGATAATAGAGTGTTGGCGCTTGTTGTCTTTGGCTCAGACCAAACCTCAAAGCTTCAGTTTGACCCGACGATTAGCTTCAATGTTCTACCGCAGACATCTTCTGGATTTAGGATATAGAACAAGCATCATGCAGCTATGTCAATTGACTTCATATAGCACATCATAGATCTTGACCAGCCCAACCTTGCTAGCTGGAGACAAGCATGTAATATCTCGAATAAGCCAGTACACTCGACATAAGATAGCCAGGTAGCGCTTAGAATCCCGATTGAAAGTACGTATCATCACTTTTATTTCACCCCATAGAGAGGGAAAAACAGAGGGAGATAGGGATAACATGACATTCGAGTCCCAGAATTGCATCAATTCGGCGCCAATCATTTCTACTCCCGGCGGGTCCAACGGATGAGCCCAGGCTGAACCGGACGCGCAAACATGGATGTGTGATCCGTAGGCGGCACGATGCCTGTTCTTCCATCCATGGTGCCGAGTTTGAAGTTGCGCACAATAGTGCCGACAATAACACCTAGATTCAAGTATGCAAATTTCTCGCCAATGCAACGGTGTCGCCCCGCCCCGAACGGGATGTAAGGACTTCTGGTACCTTTGGAAACTGCGCCGTAGCCGTAGTCTACAACATCATTGGCATCAACGATGCCCTCGCTAGGCTGTGGCTCATCCCATCGATGAGGATTCCAAGCCCTTGCGTCCGGGAAATGTTCGTCGCTTATGGCAGTCACCATTGGCGAGGCCAGCAGCACTTTGTCAGTGCCGACTACGTAAGGACTTCCGGGAATGGCCAGAGGGTTCATAACCTTGCGGAGAATGGAGTGGATGGAACCATGTAGGCGAAGCGTCTCCTTCACGACATTGTGTAAGAGCGGCAGCTTGTCTAGGTCAGAATATTGCATTGGCGAGAGTCGACTTTTGTCTCCATGACCAAGATTCAGTATCTGCTCTTGATAAAGCTCTTCTGCAATGTCGGGATGCGCGGCTAAACGATGCATGATCCATGCACTGGCTGATGACGACGAGTGTTGACCTCCCATGAGGAGCGTGATCATCATGCACGCAACCTCTTTATCGGGCACCGGTGTTCCATCCTTATAGTTCGACTTCATGAGGTTCCAGAGCATGTCGTACTCGTCGTCGGACTCGAGACCATTCTTACGGCGTTGGATGATGATATCCTCGTAGACGTCTCGCATCTTGTTGTGGGCAGCATCGCGACGTCGGTTTCGGGGTAGAGGTAACCAAGGGAAGAGGAAATTAATTGGGGTGAAGCCCTGGTGGCCAGGCTGTCAGTTTCATACTTGTATCTAGAGAAGCCCAATATCAATGGAGGGATATGAGCCACTTACCATGTCAAGGTCATGGTACAAGCCCGCAAACTCAGCCGTCAGCTTTTGCCTGACCTCTTCTCCTTGTAATGAGCGCGCTGCTGTGAATAATGTGATCTCAGACATGGCAGCAGAGATGTCAACAACACCCGACAACCCCTTCCATGCAGGGCTCATCTTGATGTAGTCCAGCACTTCCTTCTCAATCAAAGGAACGTGAGATTCCAGAGCCTTTTGTGTCAGTCCAAACTTGACAAACTTCTTCTGTTCCATGAGCTTGGAATTCGGGCAGTCGTAAATGACATCTTTTCCAAACACGGGAATCGTGAGCGGTCCGTAAATCTCCTCGGCGTTGATGTCCTGAAGCTTTCCATTGAGAATGAAGTCGTTGCCCTCGATTCCCAGATAGCAAGTCATTTTCCTGCCGAAAAGGGTGAAAGTAAAGACATCGCCGTACTGGCCAATCGTTAGCCAAATGGGCATTGAGAGCTCACGTAGCTCCTGCGCGGGACTTAACAGTACAAACCTTAGCACGGTACTTGACGAAGAACGCTACGGGATCCATGCCATAGGAAAAAGCATTGCCAATATAGGGGATCCAATGAAAAACAGCTGGGGGTTCGCTTTTGCCGTGGAAAAGCGTCTGACGGCAGGCATTGATCAGAACCAACGCGACTAATCCAACGAAGCCATAAAAGGCAATGGGGGCCAAACTCGATAGGTCCCAAACCTTTATAGAGTCTGCCATTTTTTTGGCGGCTGGGTTTTGTCGATGTTTTGCAGAATGATGAGAAAGCTGTCAAGGTAAGAAGAAGACAAGGAATGTGTCTGGACTAACACAAGACATCCCGATAGCTCGGGAAGGAAAAACCACGATATTTCTTTTCGATTCATACATGCGTAGTAGGCAATGGCAAATATCCAAATCTCCGTCGGTGATTTGGACCCAAGTCTGGCAACTTGGCAACAGCTCAAATGCCTCTCGAATTCGTATTCGTCTGGACCTACAGGCCTTCGAGGTGTTAGTAACAGCGATGTCCACATCGAATGTCCTGCTTTCATTGATGACGCCTGGAGCTCAAAGATGGCTCGTATTCGTATTAGGTACGTACCCCCCCATTGAGCAGTAGACGCTGCTGATTTCAGTTGAGACCAGTGGGCCTAGGGAATAAGCACTAGGAAATCACTGTGGTCTCCTAGAACATCTTTATTGATGAATGCACAATTGCTGAGTTTCATAAAGCTCGTGCGAGTACAGTGAGTTAGGTCGCTATTGTTCAGATTATGCTCCCTAAGATGAGGTATTAACTTGCTCGAACTTGGAGCAGGTTGGAGCTCGTATAAGCCGGATCTCGGTCTACCCTATCTACCTCTCAAGTGTTTACCCTTGACTGCGTGTTTTACTTGAAATACATGCAAGGTAAGGATATAGAAACATTTCTCTTTCAGAGTATTGACCTTGCTACTTTCCAACCTTCTCTACTCTTTCTGGCAGTACTTCCAATACCGGGTGACACTTGCTGCACGGATCTGTCGACCCCATTTGATCATGGCAAAATATGACGAGATCTGCGCAAGAGCAGCAAACGCAGCAACGAGAAACGCGTTTTGATACCCCATGTTTTCAACCCAAGGGGTTATTCTGATATCAATTAGCTAAATGCGCCTCTTCCCAGCGGTTCAAACGCGACTCACCCATAGGACACAGCAAAAGACATGGTGTTGCGGATCAGGATGACGGTGACAATCGCATCTTCGCCCAGCTCCTTGTAACAGTCGATGCAGTAGCTGATTGATAGCTGGCTGCCAGCAGTGATAGCTGCACCGAAGACCCCCATTGCAAAAATCAGGCCAAACCAGTGAACCTCGTGCGCAGCCCCGACGCCCCAGAGGAGAAGAGCACCTGGGATGCAGATTAACAGTGCTGTGAAGAGCAACAATCGAAATTCAGGCTCCATTATTCCATTGTTATGGCGTGCCTTCCAGATGACGAACTTGTCGCCAAAGAGCCCCGAGTACACTGTTCTGTAGCAAACCATTAGAGATTATACTGAAGCGCGAGAGAGAAATCTGGATGTTGCTTACCCAATGCCGACGCCGATCAAACAGGATATGTAAGACAATCCAACAATGCTTGATCTGAAGTTGTAAGGCGAGCTCGATAAAATCAAGGATGCAGTGCCATTCAGGACATTGAAATAACAAACGACGGCTCCATACATGAAGCCTGCGAATACGATTGATGGAAATTGGAAGTAGAGGAATGGTCTGACCACCATTTCTACAAGTGAGGCGTGATAATTGATGTCCTGTTTTCTGAACATTTTGAGCTTGTCAAGGTATGCCTTCTTCGCCATAGTTGGTTCGAGGCTAGGAAGCGTCTGGACAGGCGCTACTCGATCTGAGTCGGATGGATCTTTGGATCCCTTCTCAAGTGCTGATGATGTGTAGTCCACTTGGTAGGGTTCGGCCGTTAACACGTCCATGCGCTGGTAATTGGTCTCTTCCATGAAGAAGAAACAGATGACGAACCCAGCTCCGCAGAAGATAGCACACCAGTACTGGATCCTGAAGTCAGTAACAGGAGAGAATGCGACCTCCGAATTCGAAGACTCACCAAGACCCATTCCCAACCCTGGCCGTCATTGACGAATCCGGCAATGACTGGTGCAAGGAAGTTACTTCCCACCAAGAACAAGGCATAGAAGCCCATGTAAGTGCCTCTCTCGTGCGTGAACCACTGTGTGCATGATTAGTTGAGTTACAGAAGGCAAGAATACTAAGATAGTTATCTGAAGGATCCATGAGCCCTTGACGTACCACATCAGCAATGGATATCTCGCACAGAGATTCTATGGGAGCACCGATAGCTCCCTGTAGTACTTTATTCGCAATCCAATTACTGCCCGTGGTGGCATATGGAGCCCACAACATGATGGCCTAGGTTGCCTATTGTCAGTTCGAGGACCAGCATCAGCTGAGATTGTGTGAAAACCAACCATGCTTCCTAGTAGAGTAAACAAGTATACTGGACGTTTGCCAAACTTCTGGGCAAGCGGTTGCCATATCAGACAGCCCCAGCCAAATGCCAGAAACATGTAGCCGGTTCCAGAGTTCAAATCTGCGAGGGTCAGACCGGTCGCGGTGGATATCGGTACAAGGACAGAGTAGATCGCGGCTGATGCGATGCCAACGGCGAGGCAGTAACTGAAGAATAACGTCGTCTGATGAGCTTCAAAGAGTGCAAAGCAGTTGCCAGATGGAGTCGACTCACACGCATATGCATCCTAGGAGCTGATATTTTCTTCGGGGACTCCAATTCAAAGGGTCATCCGGGTCATTGGATGGCGTCGGAATCAGAACGATGTCTTTTCCACCACCCTCAGCGTGCCGTGAGGCCATCGTACCCTCAAGATCTACCAAGTGGACCGTTCCAGGGACGAAGCCAGGCGGCGGGGCCGTTCCGACTGTGTCAGAGCCCATGGTCGATGTTCAAAGAGAAATGTGTGGAAAAGCCTGGGTGGTCCGTGGGGCATAGAGTTAGTATACCAGAGAATTGCGAGAAGGGAGTAATAGTAGGTATTATGTAGGGGAGACAATCGGCTCTATCTATCTTGTGATCACATAGAGATTGAAAGCAATGACAAAAGTGAAGCCGAGAAGTAATATCGGAACGGTGATATCAGACTTTGACCACATGTTCCAAGTTTTAATGTGACAAGATAGGCATCCTCTTGATAAAGCACATGAGAAACATGGTGGTAGGTAAAGGAGCCATGGTGGACTCGGCGGCCGCAACTTTCTTGAATGGAGCCAATCATATGTAATTACGAACTTATCTCATATTGGTCGGCCCTTGAGTCTGGGGTAATCTCCACCATATGAGTGACTTAACGATGGGGTAAATAGACTTGATCTCTGCGCGCCCAGCAATCGTGCGGCGCCCGGCACTGTCGTAGTGACACTTCTACAGGGTTGCAGATGCACCAAATGATGAGTGTGAGGATAATTTCTGCCTCTTTTGTCTGCTACCTTGACAAGACCAGCAGATTATGACATGCATCAAGCCGGTGTGGATAAGCAAATAGCCAATGACTGAGAATTACGAAAATTCGGCACCGGCTAATTGCTGTTAAATGCCACGAACCAGCCAATCACTTGTATTTGCGAGGTATCGAGAGGAGCCAACTCTGATAAGGCACGGATCACACCCGTCCTCTTGTTGGGATGATAATCTGATCCTTGAGTAGACACCAACGACGACAAAGAATTTGTGCGACAGCAATAGAATGTCACTAGATCGGCGGAGCATGCCGAGGGGGCACTCCAAATGCGGTATCTCGAGAGGAGTTTCGGCGTCAAGTCCTGCCTACTAGTACCTGTTTCAGCCATGTGTTTACTTCAATCCGAGAGAGACAGAGCTGCATTGATGAGGGGAATCATTGTCAGACTCCAACAGATTATGTACGCTGTCGTCACAATCAGCGGCGATAAGTCATTGGCCGATATGCATGAGAAGTTGGCTAGGTTCCAATCTTCAGTCAACGGATGGTCGGGTTGTTGATTACCCCCTCCTCCAGTCCTTGAGATAGGAACATTGATAAAGACATTATCCCAATTATATCCAACGACTGAAGCATTTTCCTCCAGTACACCCTCTTTAACACTCATCAACTTTCATTATCTTGTCCCAGTCTCTTCTTCAGTGTATTACTCATCATGGGCTCACTTGCACCAGCTTCGTGGGAGCTCAAGGCCGATAAATTGAGGAAGATCCTCAAAGACTCTCTCAATCCGAAATGGCTCTTGGCCCCAGAAGACCTGCCTCCCTCAAGCCAGCTGAACATCTCCAAGTTCATCGACACATGCAAGCTGCTGACCCCACAGGAGCAGGAGATCACAGCATGTAGCGGCACTGAGCTAGTAAGCCGGATGGCCGCTGGCAAGCTTACCGCCGTTGAGACAGTTACAGCGTTTCTCAAGCGCGCTCATGTGGCTCATCAACTGACCAACTTTGCGACCGAGTTCTTGGTCGATGACGCGTTAGCTGCTGCTGCAAATCTCGATGCCACGTTCCAGGTGACTGGGAAGATCGTTGGACCGCTGCACGGTCTGCCGATTTCAATTAAGGAGCATATTGGACTCAAAGGGAAGATTGTGCATTCAGCCTACGTGGCTTGGGCGGACAACGTTGCCCAAGAAGACGCTCTAGTTCTTCGGCTAGCTGCGAAGGCGGGAGCTGTCTTCCATGTCCGCACCAATGTCCCACAAAGTTGCATGGTAAGCAACATCGTTCATGACATTTCGAGACAACCGGACTGACTGGACGTACTACAGCACCTCGACTGTAGCAATCCCATTTACGGCACAACAGTCAACCCTTACAATCGCAATCTCACGTCGGGCGGCTCCAGTGGCGGCGAAGGAGCGTGCCTCGGACTCCGTGGCTCTGTCTTGGGACTCGGCACTGATATCGGGGGTTCTGTTCGTGGACCGGCGGCCTTTTGCGGCTGCTATGGCCTTCGTACAACGGCTCTGCGCAATCCCTACAAGGGCATTTGCCTGCCGGGCTTAGGCCAAGAGAGCATCAAGTGTATCCTGGGCCCCTTGGCGAACAGTATCTCAGATATTCAGCTCTTTGAAGATGTTGTACTTAACCAAGAGCCATGGGACGAAGAAACCTCTCTGGTTCCTCTGCCTTGGAAAAAGATGAATCCATACCAGCCAGGCCAATTCACTATTGGAGTTATTTGGGACGATGGGTAAGCAATTTTGGATCCATGTCTTCGAGTTTCCGCTAACAGCAGCTATCCAGAATGGTTCATCCTCATCCGCCAGTCATCCGTGGCCTCAAGAACGCTGTTGACAAGCTTAAGGCAGCTGGGGTGAAGGTCGTGGACTTTGAGCCGTACAAACACAGCGAAGGGGCCGAGATAATTGAGCTTCTTTATTTCCCAGATGCGGCCGAGACACAGAAGGAAGTCCTTGCAGAAGGGGGCGAGCCGGTAGCACCATTGACGGAGTGGGCATTCCACTACTCAAAGCCGGAGCCGCTCACCATCAGAGAGAATTGGGAACTGAACTTACGAAGAGAAGCTTTCCGTGAAGAGTAAGGACTTCCATATCCATTTGCTTGGTACGTAGCTGACACCGTAGGCACACAGGTACCATAAGGTGATGAAAGATCGCGGCATCGATTTCATCCTCTGCCCCGCCTATGTCGGCGTTGCCGCAAAGTGCGGCACTCCTCAATACTGGCATTACACGACTATCTGGAATATTCTGGATCAGCCAAGTATCACTTTCCCAACTGGGCTTCATGTCGATCCCACGGTTGACGTGGTTGATGCCGACTACAAGCCTCGCTCAGCAACCGATGAGAGGGAGTACAAGAAATGTAAGTTTACACTACGTTCGCGGCTATGATTTCTCGATTGAGCTATTAATATTGACCAACTTCAGATATCCCCGAAGCATTTGTAGATGCTCCGATTGCTCTGCAGCTCGCTGGTAAGCACTTCCGGGACGAGGAGACGATGGCCGCAGCAGATTTGGTGACAAAGATCATCCAAAAATGAAGTGACCTTGGCTCTCTATTTTGTAGTGACTCCATGTATTGAAGACCTGGAGTTACCGTTGCGTCATTGAATTATTCGACTCATTGCGAGCTGGATGTTATCCCATCAAGAAAACAAAGGTCCTTTCGTAGATTTGTCCGCAATTCGGACCCTTGCGGCGTACCTCACGGCCAAATTTCGGAACGAAAATTCGCTAGGCCACGATAATATACTTGAACCCATCACGGCGGCCGGCCAATACTCAAAACATCATCTAGATTGTAGCCTTGGCAAGTGAACTAGAATCCTGGCTCCAGGCCGTTAATCTCTATGAACCACGCGACGCGCATTTGTGCGATAGATGGTGGTTTTCACCAGAGTGACTGCCTAGGATAATTGCCTAACATACCGCAGATGAACTCAAACGGCGTGCAAGGTTCTAGGTTATAGATATGTGATGTGCAGCCAACCCCGCAAAGGACTGGTAATACTCCAAGTAATACGATAAGCCGACCCACCCTGGATGTTGGGACGATGTTCATGCGGGGCTGTACATCCGACCTCCCATGATAAGACATGCCGATCTTTCGCACTCCCTTTCGTTGGGTCTGTGGAGTAGCCTTGCTTCGTAGCTGGCACATCCATCCACTTCATCACCGCCGATTGCTGACTTCAGCACATCAATACATGTGAATTACACGCGCATCAAGATGCCTAAAGCCAAATTGCGAACGAAGACCGGTTGCTCTACTTGTAAGTTCACCCTGGTCGCCCATTCAACGTCGGAAATGTTGCTGATATAGAACAGGCAGGAAGAGAAGAGTGAAATGCGGCGAGGAGAAGCCAGTATGTCGCGCCTGCGTTGCTTCAGGACGCGGTTGCACGTGGCCGTCTTCCGACGACATGTACGATAGACGTCATCGATGTCGTCGATCTTTCTCTGATGATAGAACCTTACCTTCGCCGTCTTCTTGGAGCGAGGAATCCATCATCTCTCTGGAGTTGAGAGAGCTGCCGGACCTTGAACAAGAATTGACCCACCACTACCTCAACGTATTTCTCTCGGTGCTCTTACTCACCACAGTGAGGGAAAGAGACCTGGAGGGCTATGGGTCACAGGTGATGAGCATGATGCTTCGCTCAGAAAGCGTAAAGTGCGCTGTCCTTGCTGCGTGTGCTTCTAATAAGTACATGCTCTTGAGGGCGAGAAGGTATCATGATGCGGCACTCGGGTACTACTTCCGCGCCGTGGAACTGGTCAACCGTGCTCTTCATGACTTGGGTGCATCCACCAAGGGGCCGGGCGATCCCCTTTTGACCACCGTTGTGTATCTTTACTTGTACGATGTGAGTACGCCGTCGCTGCTGAGTCTCAAGTTTCAGCCCAGTCTCATTATTCTGATAGATGTGGGGGCCGCCCGACGAGACGTTAGACGCGAGGAAGCATGTCGACGGCGCTATGAACCTGCTGAAGCTCAGATACGAAGACACTTATTCACCCATGTCAATGTCGAGGCCTCTACATCGAATCAATACCGAGAGTGTGCTTTATCAGGCATTTCTGCTTGCAATGCGAAAGCCATTCGCGCCAAACTTTCATGTGGATGAACAATTCCTTGATCGATCCGAACATGTTCTTAAAGCAAGAAAACTCTTCGACATATTATCCGAAGGTGATAGCCCCGTACTGGGCTTACCACTGCCGCTATATCGTCTCATAACGGACCTCATCGACGTCCTCAACTCACCCAAGCATCCGACTGAAGCGTTCCTGATTCGGATGAGAGAGGAGATGGAAACATGGGAAGGCCTCGTGCTGGTAGAAGATGGAGAAGCCAGCTGCCATTCGTCTATGACGAGCTTTCATAAAGACGCTGTTACTCTTTTCGTTTTGGGCGCTTCACTGCTTCTAGATTACATCGCAGAGTTTTCATTCGCCAACCACACGTCATCGCCTCAGGTCCCAAGAACTACAAAGGACAGCTTGAACCCTTTACATCAAACACGAAGTGCACCAAGGTGGCAAGTGCAGCGTGCTTTCGAGATTCTTCGTCGGCCAGCAGCCTATGAAACGTGGACGCGGTGCTTCTTGGGTGCTTGGCCGATGTTGATACTTGGGTACTCCGTTACCTCGTCTGGGGATATCTCGTTGATCCGGCGTGTTCTGACGCAAATGATAGAGCGTATGGGGTATGGAGAAATTCAAAGGATTCTCGATGATCTGGAAGGAGTCTGGACTAAGCGCGCTGAGGAGATTCAGAGAGAGTCTGTGGTGATGAGTGCTATTGAGAGAACTTGTGCAGTGTGATCAAGTGTTCAGGGTAAGCATCTCTGTGTTCAGTTCACAACATGCAGTGAAGGTGGAAGATGATTAGGGGACAGTCACTCAAGTCTGTGACGCTGATAATCCTCTTCTATTCTATGGTACCAATTAAACGATAATGGGCGACTAGCATCATAGTTTCATCTCAACTCAGTGACTGAGGCCTTTAGCATGCGCTTTGGCAACATGACGCCAGTATCTGTTCGCACTCTTCTCTCTGATAGTCCTACCATACCTGGTCATGACGAAGATACTGGCATTCCAGACGAATCCAATCGCGGCAACGATGATGTAGGTATCACGATATCCCATGTGGTTTAGCCAAGGAGTGATTCCATAGTTGATTGCAAACGACATGGTGTTGCGGATGATGACACATGTGGTAATCATGTCACCGCTAAGCTGCGGATACGACGCGATGGCATATCCGAGTGATCCCGCTACAGCGAGGGCGTTGTTGATGGCGAGGGTGAACTGTGAGATGACGAGACCCATCCAGTGAATATGGTAGGTCACACCCAAGCCGTACAGGAGCATGCTGAACGGTACCAGAAACATTGATGCGGAGAAGAGCCAGAGGGAGTGTTCCGACTCGGAAATTCCATTGTTGCGTCGGGCGAGGCGGATCGTGAGCAGCCGACCGACCTTGCCGCAGTAATAGCCCCTGCCAGGATGCGTAAGTCAACGATCTCTTCCATTTTGAGGAGTATCCAGGAAAAGCTTACCCAACCATAGTACCGAGTAAGCCTCCGGCATAGGCCGCTGCTACACCGGCAGTAGAGAAGCCGTACATGGTGGTGTATACAGTGCCAGCCGTAGCGTTCTGCACACCCGACCATACCAAATTGTTTGCACCGTACATCAGACTAAGCACAAGTTAGCTACTAGGTTCGTCTCATGATAGAAAGAAGATTCCTGCCCTGCGTAAACGACTGAGGGGTATGTGAAGCCCCTTAGTCCACCAAGTGCAATATCCAACATTCGGTTGGGCCTAGTCTTGTCCTTGATACCGAGCTTCTGGATATAAGTCTTGCGAGGATAGATCATCTGTCCGGTTTCGGTGTCAACAGGTTTGGCGTTTGTCATGTTTTTCTCGCCCGCCTTATCAGAAGACTTCTCGTCCGCATCGCTTCCGTTGTGTTGCTCTTGAACTCCAGTCGCAGGGCCTAAGGATGTGCTGTCTCCGACAGGCCTCGCGGGACGGTCATAGTTGGTCTCCTCCATGAAAAGGAAGCAGTAGACGAGGGCAATGCCGTTGAATATAGAACACCACCACTTTGATAGACAAAAGTTAGCCAGATGCGGCAGGTGCGGCAGGTGCTCGAAGGGGCCCGCAAGCCGCAAGAGAACTTGACTTACCAGAGTCCATTTCCAACCCATCCCCACATTGATGAAGCCTGAAAGCATCGGGGCGAGCTTGCCTGTCATCGAAAGACCCCACCCGTAGAGTGCAAGGTATTTAGGGCGCTGGTGCGCGAACCACTGTTCGATTGTCAGTCAACGGCATTCTGAGGGGCCTGCTTGGGTTCCTACAATATCTGTAATGGAAATCTCGCACAAAGATTCGACCGGAGCCCCAAATAGGCCCAAAAGGATGCGATTAGCTAGATATGTGTGTTTCGTAGTGCACATCGGGGCAGTAGCAAGGATAATCTATTGAGGGGCCGACACATTAGGATGATACCATTTTGGACGCTGGGTTCGCTTAAGGGACTTACAATGTTGGCGATAAGAGACGCCAGGTACGCTGGTCGCTTGCCGTATTGAAGCGCGAACGGTTGCCAGATTAGACAACCCCAACCATAGAACAGGAACTAGAGCAGGAGTGACATGTCAGCATGGCTTTGAGATTGCGATACGGACTCTCCTCACCATGATTCCCGTGCCATTGTTGATATCTGAAAGCGACAATCCAGTTGCTTTTCTGATGGGGGTGACGACAGAATAGACGGCACTACTCGGGATTGCGATCATGACGGTGTAAACCAAGACGCAAGATGTCGCAAGCCATTTCCGCTTCTTGGTCCAGTTCAACGGGTCCTCTGGATCTTCCGACGGGCGAGGAATGAGAACGATGTCCGCCTCATCGGATCCGGAGGCATGTTTGCCGATGACGGAGCCGTCTACGTCGATGAGTCTGGTGGTACCAGGAGGCAGGCCATCGCCATCCGTCTGAGCGGGGGTGTCGTGAGCCATTCGGTTGTTGTCGGGTCGGTCGACCCCAAAGAATCTCGAAAAATGCGTCTGTGTCGATCTTTCAGAGTTCCCGCGCAGGTGGCAGCTGGCGTAGGAGGTATTTGAACAGAAAAAAAGTGCTCTTGAATATCTAGGAGTGATGTGCGGCTTCAGCTACTTATCAGCATAACTCATAGAAACGTTGATGTGGTATGGCGATCCCAAGGAACGGTTCAACCAAACTAGGGGCACATGCCCGCCACCCAAGTACGGCGTTCAGTTATCTCGGTATGAAGCGAGTTACGGATTGGGACTCGGTACCTGGGCCAGCGTTGGCCAAGGCGTCACTTTGCGGGGAATGGTGATAAGACAACCAGGTTCTCAGTCTCGGACATTGATTGACCTGGGCGTTCTGTAGGAGAAGGCTGACAGTTAAGCTACCCAGCATGCTAGATAACGACGCCAGAGAGGCACGAGAACGTAAAACGCCACGCTTCAAGAGAGGCCTGGATAACGATAGCAGAACATCAACCATGAATCCGCCTAAAGATATGCGCTTACATCTCCTCGTTCCTGGGTCGTCAACCGCCCGCATAGAGCGGAGCCCCTAAAAACAAGGGTACCGGATGTTGCACTAGAATGGAGGCTTCAAGGCCCACCACCAGACCAAGTTGGCAGTTGACAGCGATAGGCCGAGAGAGCTCAATTTGGCGCTATCTGGGAATGTCAGATAGGAAAGACATTATCGCTTAGATAGGGTGCCTCTCAAAACGTGTACTCTAGAGGCAGGCTGATGATATTAGTGAAGCCAAGCAGCTGTTTTGTGCTATGTTTTCATTTTTTGGGGTCTTGCTTTGAAGTGTGGTGCAACGTGACCGCGACTTAGACAGCGTCCCCAACCCCAAACATTCCCAAGTTCGCCCAAAATGGCAATCACCACAATTCCGAAAGGCTGGCGGGAACTCGCACAAGTCTGCATCGACATCCAGCAAAAGTCGATTCCCAAGGAGTTTGAGTTGGCAAGCGACCAAGTTCCTCCGAAAGATCGTCAAAATGTGCTTGATGTACCAGCCGAGTCTGGAATTTTGACTACGGAGGAAATTCGGATGACTGAGCAGGATGCCACGAGCTTGTTAGAAAGGTACAAGAGCGGCCAATGGACTGTAAAGCAGGTTGTCGTAGCTTTTCTGAAAAGAACGACCATCATTCATCAATTGGTACGAAGACTTCACATGGTGTAGGAGTATCCCTTGCTAATAGAGTGTCTTCACGTGCCAGACCAACTTTGCAACCGAGATTCTCGCAGAAGATGCCCTAAAGAAGGCCGAGGAGCTTGATGCGCATTTCCAAAAAACAGGGCAGTTGATCGGCCCTCTTCATGGCATCCCGATATCAGTAAAAGTAAATTTTATCCTTCCCATGCCGAGAGATCTGGTAACTAACTCGGTTTTGATAGGAACACATCGGCATGGGTGGCCGTATCACCCACGCAGGGTTTGTATCAAAGATCACAAACATCCCGCTCGAAGACGCTCTTTCTATCCAGATTTTGAAAAAGGCTGGAGCAGTAATCCATGTTAGAACGAACCAACCTCAAAGTCTTATGGTAGGTATATTAGTATTTTTTGTGAGGATCAATTCGAGAGACTGCAAATAAGCTAATATTCTTTGCTTCACAGCACCTAGACTGCAACAACAATATCACCGGGCTAACTAGGAATCCACACAACCTCCTTTGCTCGCCCGGGGGATCCTCCGGTGGTGAAGGAGTATCAGTCGGCGCGAAATGCTCAGTGATTGGCGTGGGCACAGATATCGGCGGCAGTATACGTATCCCTGCCGCCTTCAACGGTTGCTATGGACTTCGACCGACGGCTCTGCGTGTGCCAAACCTTGGAAACTTTGGTATCACATCTGGCCAAGAGAGCATCCGGGGTGTGGTTGGGCCTTTGGGCCAGAGCGTTGATGATCTGAATCTGTTCATGAGTGCTGTTCTTGCAGCTGAACCGTGGGATACTGAGACCATGTTGGTTCCAGTGCCATGGAGACCCGTTGATACCAGGAAAGACATCACGGTGGGGATTATGTTTGACGATGGGTATGTCCATTTTTTGTCTTTCATTCAATGTTGTCTTTGCAACTGACTTGAGCGGATTGAAGCTTCGTCAAACCACATCCTCCCGTCCTACGGGCTCTCCACTCAGCTGCGGATAAGTTGAAACGGGCAGGCGTGAAACTAGTAGACTGGAAACCCTTTGACCACCAGCGCGGCTGGGAAATTGTAGTAAGTCGCCATTCTTCCTTACTACCTAGGCTTCTTTTTTCTTGTATTTGCAGAATAGGTTCTACAGGGTTCATCTCGACTTACCAGAATCAGTCCTCGTTGTATTTCCCCCAAGGGCCGAAGCCGTACCTCGACACATTTGCCGAAAGTGGCGAGCCGGTCCTCCCACTTACCGAGCATGCTTTTAGGTTCTCAAAAGCCGAGCCACTAACAGTCGCAGAGAACTGGGAACTCAACTATAAGAGAGAGGCGTATCGACGAGATTACCATGCTCTAATGAAGCACAGAGGCGTGGATGTCATACTATGTCCTGCATACGTTGGTGCGGGTGTGTTGCAAGGCGGCGCCGAGTACTGGAATTACACGGCCATTTGGAACGTGCTTGACCAACCAGCAGCCATCTTGCCGAGTGGACTGAAGGTTGATAAAGCCATTGACAAGCCCGAAGAAGGCTACACACCTCGGAACGACTGCGATGCAAAAGAATGGAAAGCCTGTAAGTCACCATCCAAAGCCCACTCGAGCTCCTTCAGCTCCTTCGGTTGTCGGTCTCATGTGCTGACGGTATGATGTTATTTAGATGACGCCGAACTTTTCCACGACATGCCTGTTTGTTTACAGCTTGTCGGAAAGCACTTCCAAGATGAAGAAGTGCTACAGGCAACTAAGATGGTTGATCGCATCTTGAAGGAATAGATTTTCACCCTCATCTAGATTAGACACAAGGAGTTGTCGGGGGATCAGCGCACAATTAGACTTAGATGCTAGACTTTCCACTCGATCAAGAGGCTTGAATAGATAGACTCCAGCATTCCGCCAACAACGCATTGATGCCTTCTTGGTTTTTTGGTACTGATGTGTACATAAAAGGTGGTTGCCTTGTATCTTTCAAGGTAGCGGGCGACTGAGGTAAAGGACTTGAATTAAAGATTTCTAGGAAAGCGCGAGAATTGCGTTGAGTCGTGACGCTCATGCCATCAGACCCCTTGGGTGATACTAATCGGCCCTACAAACCGTTCTGTTTCCGTGAACGTTACCACAGAGAGGCCAATGACAACATTCCCACTGCAGCTGATCAACAACGTGGTTTGGATTATAAGGGCAAGCATCCGCGGAGATAGACCAGAGTCCAGTGAATTATTATTTGTTAGAGTATCTCTTTATTGTCTATCCCTCTTGAATGCTTGGCTACCTTGGTGCCGCACTCCGTAGATACCACTAAATGCAAGGGTCAGGTATAACGGGGCACACAGATAACAACCCCCGCGGGCAACCGGCTGTGTTATCCGAACAAGAGAAAATTCCCCGCCGGAATAGAGGCACCGTGGCACCCTTAACCTTGCTCATGTTCCTTGTAGGGGTTGGCTGGACTGGTGGACGCAACTTTGGGGGAGGGGGACCTGGGGTCGCCGTGTTGATAGGGAAGTGGTCAAGCCCTGGCGTTGGCCAACTGAGCAATCGCAACTGAGCGGGGTCGTCGATCGCTGTCGGATGCCTATTCCAGAAGCCAAAGGATTGACACAGCCCATGAGCTGGTTCAATGTCCGGTATCGCGATCATCATATCGCTGTTGTGCCTTTGTTTCTTGAAAGATTGATACTACTCTCTATTCTAGAACACTTTCCTATTGTATGCGGCACTTGTGAAGACGCCCAGAGACGACAGAGACTATCACCAGCGCCTTGGAAGACAATGACCAATCTTTGAATAGCAAGCCTATTTCACCCTACCAATACCAAACACAAGCAACATACCCATTGTCAGGCAATCAAAATGACAAAACTCATTGAAACCGTTGACCTCTCGAACACGTCCACGGCATACTACGCCCCAGCAACAATCACTCGTGCTGATTGCCTAGTGCACGTATCAGGCTTGCCCGGCAACACCAAAGATGGCCAGGTGCCGTTAGACTACGACTCCCAAATCCACCTCGCGCTGCTCAACCTACGCAAAGTCATCATAGCCGCCGGATCGACGGTATCAAACATTGCGAGTTTGACTCTCTACATTGTGGACTACGATGCCTCTAAGCGCCAACACGCCCGCCACGTCCAGCGGTTCCTGGGAGCGCACCGCCCTGCGATGACGCTCGTTCCCGTACAAAAGTTGGCAGTGCCGGGCTGGTTGATCGAGATCAACGCCGTGGTCGCTCGACCAGATGTACCTTCAGTTCCTCGAAGCCTCCCACCGGTGCAGGAGGGTGTCGATGTTGTCATTATCGGCGCGGGGCTGGCAGGTCTTTCCGCTGCCCATGAGGCTCGACGGGCTGGGCTAAGCTGCGTTGTCCTGGAAGCCCGAGATCGTGTAGGCGGCAAAACGTGGAGTCAACCAATGGAGGTTGGCAAGGATAACGGGGTATTCGACCTCGGCGCGGCGTGGATCAACGACACGAACCAAAGCAGGATGTATGAACTTGCGAAGAGATATGGCGCCGAGTTGATTGAACAGAACACGAACGGTAACTGTGTTCTTCAAGATTTTGATGGCAAATGCAGCCCTTTCCCGTATGGGGAGCTGCCCAAGGTAAGTTTCAAGTGCACCCCGACAGAGACGAGCTTTTCTCACAGGTTCGTCATGGAAATAGCTTAGCGAACCGACCCGTGATCATCTTGCCCAGATCAGGGACATGGCAGAAGCAGACTGCCAAGCCCTCGACGTTTTTAGACCAAGGGACACATCTCTCGACTCTCTCACATTCGAGGCCTACCTCAAATCCCGAGGTGCTGATAGTGTTGCTCTGGCCACGGCCACTGTATGGACACGGGCCATGTTGGGCCAAGAGCCGAAGGACATCTCAGCATTGTACTTCCTGAACTATTGCAAGTCAGGCGGTGGACTGCTACAGATGCGGTCAGATAGGAAAGATGGAGGTCAGTATCTCCGAGTCCGCCAGGGCACGCAGCTCTTCTCCAAAGGGCTGTCCTCTTCATTGCCTGAAGGCGTCATCCGTCTCTCTAGCCCCGTTCAGGCTGTTGTACAGAACGAGAATCGCTCCGTCAAAGTTGAGGCCGGTGGTAAGGTCTACTCTGCGCAAAAGGTCATCACTACCGTACCTGGTCCCGTCCTCAAGACGATCTCATTCCAGCCGACGCTACCCCACACGAAGCTGGCCTGGATTGAGTCCCAAACGTATGGATACTACACGAAAGCTATGATGGAGTTTAGTACCCCGTTCTGGGTCGAGAAGGGATATTGCGGCTTGGCTCAATCCTTCGTCGGCCCTGCTTCTGTAATACGCGACACGAGCAGTCCGGCGGACAAGAAGTTCGTACTGACATGCTTCATGGCCGGTGAGCCTGGCAAGGCATGGGCGGCAACGACAACCGCTGAGCGAGAGAGCAGCTTACTGGAACAACTGAGCCAACTGTATGGTGTCGAGAACATTCGTCAGCTTTTCAAGCAGATGGTGTTCTATGAATGGGTTAACGATGAGTTTTCGGGATGGGGATGCCCTTGCACGTCACTAACTCCCGGAGTTCTTGATACGCTTGGTGGAGATGGGCTTCGCGAGCCGTATCGTGATATCCATTTCGCGGGAACAGAAACCGCAGGTGAATGGAAAGGATACATGGAAGGCGCCGTACGAAGTGGAGAGCGGGCGGCTGCGGAGGTTGTGAAAAGCCTTCAAGGCGGTCTGGTGTCACGCCTCTAGTTACCTCGTGTATTTCTTGGTTAACAAGCTCGATGATATTACACGAACCTGAAGCTATGTCTTTGTGCGCTGTGCCAATGCGAAACATTTGATTTGGCTACTGGGGTAGGAGCGAACATTATCCCCATTGAAGTTATAATCTGAGATATTGTCTTCTACCACCGGACCATATCACCATTGCTGTACGCTCACTTATAAGCAGCGCAGTATCAGCCCCGAATGCTGGGATCTGGCTCGAAAATCCACTACCAACAGCTCATGGCGTTGAATGTAGCGGCGTCAGGCTTCTGCATTGTCGCCGTTCTAGAAGACCATGCCGCTCAGACAAGGGACGAGAGCGCTGTCGCGCGGTGCCGGCCTTAGTGCATCAGCCTGGTGTTTCGCCCACCGGCATGGCATACAAGCTTCATCCATTCAAAATCGGCCGATCTTTTCACTGGCCCAGTGACTTAAAGTTTCCCCTTCCGAAGCATTGGTACCGTGGTGTTTGTCGCAACAGCCAAGCAGATACAGATCATGCCCGGCTTTCGTTGATGGGCGCCCGATAACCTCGGTTTGTGGGGGAACTACAGGGGATTAATTGGAAAAGCTGCTACTGTAACTCAATCCAGTGCGATGGACTCGGGATTCTGGGTAGGCCAGATTTGACACGTTAGATGTATCATGCCTCTTTTGACTTCGACCAACGGCCTTTGAGGTTGAGAGTTTGACATTGGATGTTGCGCTTATTAATGAGATTGTCTTTTACATAAATGTGGTCAGCAATTCAAATACGTAGCTTGCACACCGCATCTAAGGTCATGGATGACAGCGACTTTGTTCACTTTCCATATCATCTACGCCGACTTCTAGACTTGCGGATTTCTCTTCCGAGGCACCTCTAAAGTGATTTCAAGGCAACTTCATTTATTCTAGACAGAAATCGGCGTCAGCAGCGACCTACACAACCAAAATGCTTACCACCTCATTCCAATTGACTCATGTCACACCGATTCCCGACTACATGACCCGCGAGGAGGTCCTCTCCCACCTTCACAATGCGGAAGTTCACATCAAGAGCGACCCCAATTTGACACACTGGACGCCCCGCACGCCAAAGGTGCCCCCCACTGTTCCCGACGATGTCGATTCCATAGCGGTTACTGAGTGCTATACCATCACGGATACGGTGCCTACCAACCTCCCAAAGGCCCTGCCCAAGGGCATGCTAGAGAAGAAGAGTGTTAGCGAATACGAGTTTACTTTCACCCCGGATGGAAGTTTCGTCAAGATTCACTGCCCCATGAGCGTCCTTTTGGAAACGCGGTGGCGTGTTCGCAAGGGGAGCGACGGAAGTCTGGAGTTAGAAGAGATTGTGGACGCTCACTGCTCCCGTTTCCTCGTGGGCGTTGTAAAAGGCGAACTAGAGAAGAACTGGGTGGAGGTCCACCGGAAGATATTGACAGGAAAAGCATGAGTAGTAGGATTACAGAGCTCTCATCGCGATAGACGTACGCACCACATAATGCAACGACTCTTACCTGGACAGCGAGCTTGAAGATGTGTAAGAACCAAGCAGTCATTCGCTTTTACCAAAAGAAAACACGGCATCCAATGCAGGCCAGCGTATCACTTGGAGATCAACTCTGCCTCAGATTCTTCGGAACATACAATGTCGACGGTCATACGCCGTCTCAAATCAAGATGAGTGCACCACTAATTAAAGTTTCTCAAGTCTGGCCGGAAGCAGTTCAATCATCATCGCGCATCCACGAATCTCGAGAGACACTAAAGACTCCGACATGACCTTTACTCTCCTTTACACAGCTCTCCATGCGACTTCCAGATTTCAAACTCGAAGTCGGGTTGAAACTCTGTGTATAATGTCTCCTATGTGTTCAATCGGAGTCAGCCTTCAGCCATTCTCGTCGAGGTTGAGTAACACGCGAGTTTTTTTTACGTACCGGATCGGCATTGACTTTGGCTGTGAGCTCAGCCTCCTTTTCCCCGATCATGTTCTTGGGAAGACCTGTGCTTTCCACCATAATCTGAACCTCGCATGACTTCTCCATCAGCGTGAAAAGATACGCTGCCTCATCGACCGTGCCTCCAGTCGTCAACAGGCCATGATTCTGGAGGACAATGACGCGGCCCTTTTCACCCAGAGACTCCGCGATCTTTTCACTTTCGTCGGCTTCCAAAACAACACCGCCGAAAGACCTGTACACAGCCTGAATTCCCCAAAAGTTGCAAGTGTCTTGACTGATAATGTCAAGTGGTCTTCCAAATGTTGACCAGGCTTTTCCGGCTGGCGAATGTGTATGGCAGGCCGCATGGATGTCAGGGCGAGCTTTGTGAATGGCGCTGTGGATCATGAAGCCTGCTGCGTTGACAGCCGCCCTGTTCCCACCAATGACTTGGCCCTCTTCGTCAATCTGAACCATGTCACTAGCTTTGAGCATACCAAAGTGTTTCCCAAGCCTAATTTGGTGTTAGAAGCAAGGATTTCTAGATATTGACCGTTTCTTAGGGACTCTCACGGGTTGATCCAGAAAGTATTCGGGTCTACCGGGTCGCGAACGCTGATGTGTCCACTGGTTCCTTCAGTGAACCCTTTACGCGCAAATACTCTGAAAGCGCCAGCCATGTGCTCGAGCTGCCATTGTCTCTTTTTGTAAGGGTCTGCGATATTTGGGATCCCAGGAAACTCGTAGCCGCCTGTCGATAGGGCCGTCACTCCTGATTTTTCCACAGACTTTCCGGCCCCAAGCGGTGTTGCTAGAGTTTCTGATGATTTTGTAATAGTTTCGCTGGGTGCAGCGGTCATAGTAGTAGTTGTCGACATGGTTGTGGTGAAGCCTGTACTTGATACACAGAATACTCGTCTTCGCACTTGACTGCAGTGGTGAACTAGACGCGATTCTGCTTATCTCGCGATGGAATACGGCCAGCTCGTTTATGACGCTTCTTTTCCAGCAGAATATGTCTACATCTGAGTTATCTTTACGAATATGAACGTTGCCCTAATTCCAAGCACGACCTGATGTCCTTGAGGATCGACCTGACCATGTTACATTTGGCAGTCAACTGCGACTAGCTGCTAGCTTCGCTGTGGCCTTCCATCGCGGGATTTACTCATAACTGCCTTATCGTTGTCTCCACTCCAATCGGCGCCGACTTGGCGAATAATGATAAGCTTATCCGTATCTCCTCCGGGATTCTCTCCGGGGCCCCGTGTTTATCTCCAAGACCAGGGTCGTCCGGGAAAGCGACAGATTACGAAGTCAGTCGGATGAGATCCAGTCGCCTGCTGCTCTCGCTCTCAGCTTCCTGTTTCACACATGCGTAGGAGAAGCCAGCAACTCAACTTTTGTCTGGGAACCTCGACTTGACCAATGTCCTCTCCGAGGTCTACGTCGTATCAAGGTCGAAGACGTACTAAGACTTTCACTGGCTGCTGGACATGCCGCTCAAGGAAAGTGAAGTGCGACGAGGGCAAACCACACTGCTCTCCATGCAAAGTACGTGGACTTGACTGTCAAGGTTATGGTGTTCGACTTCAATGGCTACATCCCGAGACTACGGTCCCATCATATTCGAACTTGTCTGATATCGGACTGGCCAACGATGCATCAGCCCCTAGATCTCTAAGGCGACAAGTTCCAGTCTGTAGGCTCTCTGAGCTCCATAAACACTCTCTAGGCGATACTAAGGATCATGTAGCACCCGCTCAACAGGTTCTGACATGGAGTCAGGTCGAGGGGATCCTCAAACTCATTGACTCTGTAGAACCATCATCAGCAACTAGCTCAAGCGATGACGTGCGTGTCAACGTGGAGAATTTCGGAGTGTTTGATGCAAGAACACCATCGACTATCGATTCTCGGAACGCTGCCGGCACTTTGCTGCCGCAAGATACTTTCACGACAATCGAGACTTGCTATGAAGAGTCTGAACGAATTTTGGGCACAGATTTGGCTCTTTATACTTCCTCCCCAAGTGTGCCAAGTCCCGAGAGACAGCAGATATTGCCATCGCCTTCACATTCTGAAGCTGAAGTAGCTTGGGAGTTGTGCAATCTGCAAGTGCAAGGACATTCGGAGACGGAGGCAGATAGTCTAGGCCCAGGCTTTGCCGAAGACCATTCAGACGACCTTCAAGACGAGGGAGCCGCTAATGAAGTCTCGTCTTCTTCATTAGAACATCAGTGTTGGCCCAGAATAAGCGTCTCCACGGAACTCTCAAGGCCACCAACGGCGTTTATCTCTGAAAGAGAGCGATTCCTCATGCATCACTACATGCATAGTGTCGTCAACATATTTTGTGTCATCGACAATGCAAAGAGTCCTTGGAAGACGATACATCTGCCTCGAGCCATTCAGGGGGCCGGTGAGCTGAGTGTGATGGGCGCAACATCTAGTATCCGCAATGCCCTGCGAAACGCGCTGCTTTCCATAAGTGCCTACTACTTCTCAAATGTTCAGGCATCAGAAAACAGGCTCGAAATAGAGTCGAAATGGGTGGAGGCTGCCACTCTCTATCGTTATAATGCCATCGGATTACTCAAACAAGCGGTAGAAGTTGACCTCCACGCGCCAGAAAGACCGAAGTATAAGGAGTTTCTGGCAACAATGTTGTCAATGATAACAATAAACGTAAGCTGGAATTTTCTTCTGTTGTTTCTGGCCAGGCAACCAAGAATATTGCATCAGCTTTGCATGAGGTTTGAAGTATCTGATCACCTATCGGTATTCGTCATATCCCCTCTATCCTCTTTAGACCCTGCTCAACATTGATCAAGTCTTTCTATATCTCACTCACACCTAGACTAGGTTATGTCAGGAGACACAAGTACCTGTGGTGTTCATCTAGACGGCGCTCAACAGCTCATCATCCACATGGGGAAGGGAAAGCCTAGGCTGTCCTCAAAAGCTCGAGCTCTGCATAGGATCTACTATTACCTTCGAGTTATCTATGAAAGTACCGCTCCCCTACGAAGTTCAACACGTCGCTTTTCGCCATCTTCCGGAAAAGGTGTTCTTAATATGCCCCATTCTCCAGGCCAACAAGTCTTCACCAATACTTTCCCTTTCCCAGACGAGGATACAATATCTATGTGCTCTGAGCCTGCAAAAACAGCAAGCGAGATGGCATCATATGAATGTATCTACGGAATCCCTCAGAGCTTGCTGGTCTTACTCCAAAGAACCGTTGATCTGATCGACAGGGTCGATGCGGCGAGGAAGAATCATGGCATCGTATCGATACCAAAAGATTTGGACAGAATGTGCGATGATATTGAAAGAGATATCTTCGACTGGCCACTTGACTTGGAACTCGCTCGGTATCGCGATTCCGACATTGGCACGAGCTTTGAGATCATCTATCACCAAACACATTCATTTCATAACGCTCTCATTATTTACTTCTCCCAGAATGTCAGACTACTCAGCCATCGATATCTCCGCCAGTATGTGACAGAGATTCTACATGACATTGAGGCCATCGAGACCATCAAGGCCGAGACTAAGCTACTTGCTGCACCCCTTTTCTGGCCGGCATTCATGGCGGCAACGGAAGCTCATGACCAGCATCTCCAAGACCGCTTTCGCCAATGGTATACAAATGTTGCGGTTTACGGCATCAAGGCGGTGAGGACAGGAACTCAAGTTGTGTATGAAGTGTGGAAACAGGGACCCTCGTCTGATGGTCGTGTGACGAGCCAATGGCGTACAGTAGTGGAGGAAACAGGGGCGACTTTGATGCTGACATGAACCCTGGAACATCGGAAAAAAATAACTTCTGACTCTCAGATGCTGATATGACCTAGTGCTTGAAGCGAATATCCTTGCGGTTACTGCCCTCGTCCTTTGTCGTCTCGAGGTAGCGAATCCTCTCCTGGAAGCCACCATTAGCTACGGACCTTATTGGGAACTGTTACCTAAATGGCTTACCTCTTCTGTCATTGCATTCCATTCTTTTTCTCTTTTCTTGTTACACCACATATAGAATGCCTTAGCGATCAGATAAACGCAGATGTTCATGCAGCATATTCCAATTAGAACCCGGTTGCCACGTCGGTCTTAAATATCACACATCTCGTCAGCCTTTCACGACAAGTACAAAGCTATGCCACGGTACTCACATTCTGGTCTATCGTCTTCCCGGTAAATATTGGAGTAGATGACGCGAGCAAGCTGAACCATCATGCTGGCAACATTTTATCATTAGACAGATGTTCATAACCGAGTAGAGTTTGGTGTTGGCTTACTTATACAAAGCTGCGGAGACGGCCCTGGTACGAACAGAGTGAGAATTCCGAGACGCCCAAGAGACGTGCATGGCATGGGCTAGTAACGTCAGATTAAGTCACTTCTTAGTCCTCGATAGAACCGAGACTTACGTGATGGGTAGGATAGGAGAACAGTGACAACAGCGTACTGGGCCCAGGGACTAGCATCTGCCGGGAGGACGGCCATAGCTATGAGATTCGGGAGGTACCATAGTTGCGTGAAGGCACCAAACAATGCTCTCGTATCCCATATCTCGGATAGATATGTCATGATCAACATGAAAATGGCTCCCAAGAACTGAGGCGGTATACTCAGTAAATTAGTATCATTCGTGTTGAATCCAAGGTTGCGGAGAGTCAGCGTGAGATATTGGTCGGGAGGGCCGGCTGGGATTTCCCAGAGAAGACCAAAGACGTAGATGGGCCAAAGCTCCCAGTCAGCGAGAGATTTGAGAAGCAGCTTGGGGGTGATTGCCTGCCGATTGTGCATATCGCATTTCGAGGGGTCGTCGCGAAGGATTCGGTTGACCAAGATCTTCTCTTCCTGTTCGTTGAACCATCCATTGGGTCGCCACCAAGCCTTTGTTTGCGTCGGTGAAGCGGCCATTGCGAACCAGGACCAGACACTGATTGACAAAGTAATGATCCCTTCAATCAGGAAGAGCCATCTCCAGCCCTCATAGCCGTTGATCCCATCCATGCGAAGAACGCCCAGCGCTAATAGGGGTGCCACGATATCCGTGATTCGACGAACTGTCCAAAACATGGCAAGTCGGAAGGGGAGCTCGGTCGATTTGAAGAAGTACGTCAAGTACAAGACTACGTCGGGGATGAACCCGCCCTGAAGTACACCCAGGAGTGCACGGCACACGAGGAAGGAGGTCCGGCCGCTGAGCCAGAATTGACACCCCGACACTAGACTCCAGGAACACATAATGAAGGGAATCCAGCGGTCGGGGCCGAGCTTCTTGCTGACCATCTGCGACGGCAACTCTGCGCAGAGGAAAGATATTTGGAAGACTGTGTTGCCGAGGTTGTAGTCATTGGTGTTCATGCCAAGGTTCTCGAGGAAAGAGGCCGAGTTGGCTTGACTTAGATTGCCTCGAGGCAGGTCGAGAGCGAAGAAAGCTGCGGCAACGTTAAAATCTAAGCATTGGGATTCATATACCATGATACACATACCGAGACACGCCCATAGTGTCACGCGCCAATCCATTTTCGTGATCAGGGGCAGCTCCTCACCCCAGCTCCATCGGAATGTTGGATCAAAGCGATGCAGATTTTCATACTTTGGATGTGGCTGGAAGAACTTCGCAGTAGAAGGGTGGTCGTAGACAGATGGCTGTGTCGCTATCGCACTGGGATCGTACCCATTCTTCTTTTTGAAGAAGGACAAAATCGGGATGATGGGAGCATCTTGCTGGCGAAGGTCGGCCTGCTCACGGAGGATGCGATTCTTCGTTTGCTCGATCTCCTCGTCTGTTGCCTCAAGATTGATAGTGTCTGTGTCTTTCTTGCTCTCAGGCTCTGAGGCCGAGGCCGACGATTGCTCGATGATTTTCTTCTCGGACATTCTTGAGTGTATAGGCTTCCCGGATGAGGCAATATTTTTAAGACCCTGAGCTTGGGAAAGAAATCATTTTCTCGATAACAATGGAGCCGGAGAAGCGTATTTGAGGATTATGTGTTCAGATTGACTATTGTGAGCACGACTACCTAGTCATTGGCGTGACCTTATTGGCGTGGCATTTGTACGTTGCGCACATGGATGTTTAAACTGTAGTTGGCAGATTGTTTTGCGCGATATTCGATCCCTTCTACCCGGTCTGAGACAACAACAACGAAAGAACAAGGGGAAGACATTGCCAAGTATTCTCAACACTGGTAGCTCAATACTTCATGGCGAAACGCCAATGATGTATCCGCAGACATCACTTCAAGCCCCAGCCAAATTCCATTTCACAGCTGATTCCCTCAATATGGTGCTCTTGGTAGTTCTTGGCCGTGGCAGTGTTCTCTCCTCGTCGACAGCGAATGGACTACGCGAGCCCCGAGAATGGCTACGAGAAAAGATGAGAAAAGAGCAATTGTGAGCGAGACTGGGATGATGATGCGATTTACCAAGAGAAAGACGTGCTTTTGTATGCGATAAGTTTGCAATGACAAGACTACAGGCAGCACTTAGCGGTTGCTTGGTAGTCTTGGTAATGCGCCTTGGCAACTTTGTTCGGGAGGCGAGCGCTGTATTTATAATGAGCGGGTGCCGATTTCGCAATTTGCTTGAAGCATGGCGAAATGGAAATTCAGTCGAGGTTCTTAACACTGTGGAGGTCTTCCTTATGGTGGAATCTCTTTTTAGATTTCTTGTCGCAAGACCTTACTTGCCGGAACAATTCTGGTCTGGTCACGAGGTCAAACTTCAGCTTTACCTCTAGCATGATGGAAGAGCCGAGCTCATTGGCGACATGGCTAACCTCTCTTCACAACATGAGCAATTAAGGCAATATATGTCCTTGTGCGGTAAATATAGCGTACCTATATTAGCTTAGCCTCGGCTTTTCATCATTGGAAAATTTGCCCCGAATTCTGGCTGTTTGTTAATTATCGCGATCTATCTGCGTGTATCATGGTCCATTCGCGCAGGCGTGGCACATCATTATGTCTTTGAGGATCTGCTCCCGTCTATAACTTCTAATCATGAATACTCCGAAACCAATCCCAACCCGAGTCCTCACTCTTGACGGCTGTTTTCGGACCAGAAGGGAAGACCTGACTGGGCTCTGAGAGTTCCATAAAGAGCCGCACCGTCCAGATTCTCTCCACCGTACGCCCTTGCGCTGAGCATGTTGTTTGTCGCAATATCCAACGCCGGCATCCTGACGCCGAGGTCATTGGCGACTCTGAGCGCATGTTTCGCGTCCTTGATGGTGTTCGACACAAGGAATCCAGCCGTTCCTTCCTTGGGTGCCCAGGACCCGCTGGTCAACCTGCGGGAGTAGCTACCCAAGACCGGTCCAAAATTCTCAAAGATGAGATCTTCCATTACGTTGCTTCCGATGCCGTTCTGTTCAGCCAAGACTTGGGTCTCGGCAATGGCCTCGAGGAAGACGACAAGAAGCACGTTTCTGTAAAGAACCATGTTAGCGATCACCGTAGAGTCACGCATTTCGAGATGCTACGTACCCAGTCACCTTCAACATGGGGGCCTTCTTGACGTCTTCACCCATGTTGATGATTTTCCTTCCCATCACATCAACAACCAGGGGCTCAAGGCGCTCAATAGCCGTCGTGGGGCCGGCCATGGCGAAGATCAGTCTTCCGGCCTGAGCGACCGGGTTGGCGCCAAAGACGGGGGCAGCGATAAAGGTGGCGCCGG